ATATCAGAAGGCACACAAATTATTTGTGCCACTCCAAAAAAAAAAAGTTTTTGTCCACTCTAAGACATATAGATGATAGAAAACAAACAAACAAACAAAATGTTATAGTATTAACAATAAAGACTTTTTGGTCAACCAGCAAACATTTGGGCCAAAAAAAATTGGATCATCTGTGGCTAAGGTGGTAGAGCAGGTCGTGTGCCAACTGGAAAGTTGGTGGATGACGCTTTACGTATTCACAGGCAAGATACTGAACCCAAAGTTGCCTCTGATGCATACCTCAGAGCATGTGCGAATGCTAGATTGCACTTAGACATAGATAAAAGCGCTGCATGAATGTGTGTGCTTTTGGGACGAGACCTATAGTAGAAAACCAGCAACACCACCAAAACAACAACCACAACCAAATCCCACTTCTGAGTATTGTTTTAATCTCAGTTAGCTCTCAGGTAGCAGACAATAAATTGTTCCTAATGTGTGTAACCACTGTTCCTTACAGTGGGGAAAATAATTCAACTCTCTAATTTTGTGGTAGTTTCAGTTCTCTCTCTTTTTAAGATAGAACCAAAATATGAACAAAAATCCAGTTCCTTAAAATGGAGGAAATAATTATGGTTTCTAATTTTATGGTAGATTCATTTCTCTCTCTTATTTTAAGATAGACACAGAATATCAAAAATGCTGTGGTCAGAAGAAGACAAAAATGCAGGTTGAATTCATGCCAAACAGCTTTGGAGGGAATGTAATGTGGACTGTGACCCAACAGAGATGGAAAAATGACTCAAAACATACTGGCAAGGTAAGCAGTAGCTAAAAATGAACCACATTAAGCTCATAGAGTGGAATAACTAATCTTTCGACTTGGTAGAACTTCTGTTGAGGGAGCTGAAGCTTGGAGTTTCCAAGCAGCAGCCAAGAAACCTAAAAGATTTAGAGAGTTTCTGTAAAGAGGACTGAGCCAAAATGCCTCACGACATGTGTGCAGATCTGGTGACCAGCTACAAAAAATGCTTATCATGGTGGAGTTTGGGTCAATTCAGGAAAAGGCATCACATTTCATGGTAAAATACTGTAATCGTAATTATGGTAATTTTTATGCTATCAAAATATGAAACAGGTCAAATATCATTCAACACGTATGTAAAAGTTGAATGTGACGGGTTGTGGTTTGTGGCTCAGCCGAAGGGGAGGGGTGGAGCGGTGGGTTGAGGCATCAGGGCTGGGGAAGGCTGGCTGGTACAGTTGATTTGCATCATGCTAACCACGTCTTCCCTCTTTCCAGCAGCAGCAGGGGCCTGGAGTGGCAGTGTCAGATGAGAGCTGAACGTGAGCTGGTCTGAGTCGGAGAAACAGCCTTCAGCTCCAAACACTGTAACTATAGTTCACTAAAATGCATCTAGAGGTCTGTCTGTGTACGTAGGGATGGGTATCGTTTAGGTTTTATCCGATACCGGTGCCAAACCGGTACTTTTGAAACAGTGCCGGTGCT